AGTCAGATAGCAAAGGTGGAGTAGTAGGGGCTGTCTATCCCAGATGTAGGCAATAGTTTTCAACTTAAACCAACCAGAGATATTTTTTTTTCAGGGAAGAATTTTCTCACTAGTATTGTTAGGTGTGCCAGTACATCGTCCTCATATAAAGCAGGCCAACTTTTAACCAGTTTTATTATTGTTTTCAAATACAGTAGTGTACTGCCCTCTCGCCTCCACACACACAGACCACTCCCACTATTTTGTCTTTGATGTTTACCTTCTTACTTGGGTAAGAAACCCAATAAAGAGTAAGTTATAAATGAGAGCTCTCATATGAAGCCAGAAAATTCAGAGATCTATATTCCTCATTCTGTTGGTACACCAGAAAAAAAGAAATCTTGCCAACCAGCAAAGGATGACAAGCAGCCATGCCTGGGGTAAAAAAAAAAAAGTCTCACTTGAAGACTGTCATTACAGCTGTGCTTTTCACAATGATTGAGGTTTGAATTATTACAACTCATGTATTTTGTTTAGAAAACACCTAAATTGAGAAATTAGTATACAAAATGATATCAAACCAGTAATACCAAGGGAACCTTGCAGAAGAAATGCAAAATCAGCCTAGAGAAACAGACCCTCAACACTAGCCACTAATGAACTCACAGTCCAAAATTATAAAACCCATGGAGAAACAATCCACTGTGGCAAGAGTCGGAAGACTTAGCAAATATGACAGAACCCCAAAAACTTTAGATGCTAGAGAATCTGGTAGAAACTATAAAATGAACAAAGTTATAAAAGAGGAATGAAAGATACAGGAATCAAAGGTAAAGACACCACAAAAAAAGAACATCCAGATATGAGGAAAAATACATGAAACTGCTAGAAATTAAAGATTTATTCACTAAAATTAAAAACTCACTTTACGGATACAATACCAGGCACCTTACATTCACTAACTCATTTAATTCTCAGAAAACCCGTAAGATAATACTACCCTCATAATCAGCAAAACCGAAGCACAGGTAAGTCATTTTGTCCAAGGTCACACAGCCCATAAGTGACTGAGGTATGATTTAAACTCAGACAAGCTGATTTTAAAGCCTGTGCTCTTATCCCTATGCTGCTTTTTTTTTGCATGTTAGATGACAGATGAAAAGAGAGTTAAGGAACTAGCAGATAGACTTGAGAAAATCACACCAAATGCAGCATAAAGATAGCATATAGGGACAGAATGTTGTTACAGGAAGGATAGACTTCCTCTAATAAAAAGGAAAGTCATGCATTCATCTAATAGTCATTCCAGAAGGAGATATTTAGGGAGAAAGAGCAATATGCAAAAAATTATGGCTGACAGTGTTCTAGGACTAATAAGATGTAAATTGAAGAAGCGTGAGTTCTAAGTAGTATAAAATAAATGTATACTTAGACATATGGAACTAAAGATCACCAAAGATCAGAAAAATAAACATTTGGAAAATATTGGATAATTATTCCCCGAGCTTTGGTGTTCATTGATAAGTTTGATTGTATTTTTATGTATTTTATGTAATTTAATTACAT